CATCCGCCGCGGCGGCAGCAGCAGGAGCAGCGGGAGGGCGGCCGCCGTCCCGCCGCCTCTCACCGCCATGGCGGCCCCTCACGTGGCGCCGGCGCTGCCCGATGACGTCGCGAGGAGACGCTTCTCCCCGGTCCTCCCTCCCCTCCCCGTCACTCCCCGGAGCCGCGGCGGAGCCACGCGAGGAGGGTGAGCGCCGGGGGCGGGGGGCGCGCGCGCGCGGCCGGTACCTCAGGAGACAGCGGCGGCCCCTCCGCCTCTTCAGCTGGCGGCTGGGCCCCGCGGGAGCAAACGTGGCCCTGAGGGGGGCTCTGTCAGAGGCGGAGGAAGGGGCCCGCGAGCACCCCCCGACATCTCCACCGGGCTCCCTCGCGGCTCCGTGCGACTGCGGCCGGGCCCGCCGGCTGCTGGGGGAGCCCTGTCCGGTTTGACAGGGTCACGCGCTGCCCCCCGCCCGCCGAAGGAAAGTTCTGGGCGTTTAATTCTAATTCCGCGGCACCCCACCCCCACCCCGGGATTTTGTCTTTCAGGAAGCCCCGGCACAGGGATGACGGTGAACACCCCCCTGTGTTTTAGGGGAAAGAAGATCCTGGCTCCCATGGTGCGGGTGGGGACGCTGCCCATGCGGCTGCTGGCCCTGGACTACGGTGCCGATATCGTGTACTGCGAGGTAGGAGCAGATGAGGCAGTTTGCTCTGGTAACGTTATTATTATTAAGAAATCTACAAATAAACTTTGTTTGCGGTAGGAAGAATTGGGAAAGAAGAATCTCTATGGCTTTAGACATATCCCTTTGAGCAGTCTTCAAGTTGTGGCAAACCCGTATTTTAAGAGTGGTCGATAATCTCGATTCACTTGGACAAAACTCCATAACAACTTTCTCACGTTCTACTGTGTTTTGGTTTTTATTTATTTTTTCGCTATTGAATAGAATCCTAACATGGAAGGAAGTTTTAGACTGACCCACACTCTCACCCGGATAGTTCTGCTGTGCTAACCCGGAGCATCCGTACATCCCCCTTAAAGCTGCCTGAAGTCCAGACACAGTTTGCTGTAGATATTATTGCTAGGGCTGCTCTCTAACTCAGGGTACTTAGTCTTCACTATCCTTATTGTTGCAGTGCATCAGCATTCCCATTTTCCCCCTTAGCGCTCTTATTAGCTCTTCTCAAAGGTAGGCACTGCTACAAGTTACATGACTCAGCCAAGATTTAAAAAAAAACCACAAAAAAAACCAGTAAGGAGTTAAACATAATGTAAATATGGCTTAGATACTGCCTTTCCTGGAGAATGTTTGATCTGTGCCAGTGGAAAAGGCTGAAACGAACTGTCAGAATGTGCCATTTTCAATCTTCTCAGCAGCTCTCTGGTGAGTTAGCTCACTGCCCTTTGGCGGGGGGGACAGGGACAGAAATACAGACAATATACTGTTTTTTATCTTGGCCACAGCTCAACTTTTGTCTCTAGCTTCTAGAATTACGAATGATATTTAATTAGTTGGATCAGTACCATGTGAAAGTATTAGTTGTTGCTGGATGATTCAGGAGACATCTCAAAATTCAGTAGAATACGGCACTCTACCATAAAATTGGGAGTAATAAGGTGTTTTTCTTCTGTGACAAAGAAAAATTAAGAGTTTCCCAGTTTATGAATTAATGATCTCTCTGCTTTACATGGCATTAAGTGAGAATATGTATTTTTTCATTCTCTGGGAGGCTAACCGTAGATCACGTAGAGAGAAGTCACAAGCATGGAGTTACAGAATCTAGAAGTCTTAAACACTAAAAGCAAGTCAGGCTTCAGACAGCCTTTGTACTTTTCCAGTATCTCCTGTGCTTCTCAGTAGTGGCAAAGAACCTTGTTACTGAGCAGTTACTGGATTTCACTGACAGGGCCATTGTCTAGGAAGCTGGCGGAAGAGAGTAATATAGAATTTGTTGTGGTTTGTGTTTTTTTTAAAGAAAAAAACTAAGCCACAACAGACCACACCAATAAAGGTATTGCTTTGCTTACTACTGAAGTTGCAGAGCTTGAGGTTAGTTAAACTAGCACTGCGAACTCTGTAGCTAAAGCAGTTTCTCCTGCTTTCTCCATACTTTTTGTCACAATTCCAGAGAAACAGTAACTCAAAAAAGAGGCCCTCAAACTTACTTACCAAGTTGCACTATGTAACAAAACTTGTAGCGTGGAAGCTGTTCCCGTAGACAAAAACCTGTTGTAGTTTTCCTCATCTCACCTCAAAAATAAGGTCTCCTACATTATCTTTCCTTTTTCCCACATTGCTGTTGAGAGACAGGAGAGTTAAAATACTTTTGACATGGATTAGCATTTGCTTCTAGATATTATTTTTAACAGATTTTATCAGAAAAACTATCCTCTTTAGGTTTTCTTAAGAACTAATGGGATAGTATGAAATAGAACAGTTATTTTAGGCAATTATACTGCAGTTGTTTGCCTACTGAACAGCATGAATAACTGCATTTTGTAAATTCATTTCTGTAGAGTAAAATTTTATTTTCTGGTTTATTGTTTTGCTTTCCAGTCCTTCCCCCCTAGTTCCATCAACATTTTAGAACTCAAAGCTGTTTCAGAACTGAACATAAACAGTACCTCACGAGGACCATGAGTTAAAAACTTAAATAAAAAGTGCTACTTACAAAACCTGCAGTATAGTGCAAACAGATTGAGATTGGCATCATTTACTGACTGTTTATCCCTCACCTGTAAATCAGCAGTTCTTAAACTTTGTCTTATTTGCTAAAACAAAGACTGTATAGTAGACTAAACCTTTTCAGATATCTAACACTATACTATAGTGGGGTTTTCTCTCAATTTATATAACAGTTGGATTAACAGCTGCATATTTATTTCAGCAGCTAACAAGTTATATTGGCTCAAGCTGTACCCCTATGTCAATTAAAGGCAGTCGGTTTGTCTAAAGGATTGCCTGTGGTCAAGTTGCTGAGATACATACGAGAAAATGACTTAAATAGTATTCTTAATAAATTGAATTGCATAAATCTGCTATTACAGTAATATATGTAGATTGAAGTTTTGGGTTTCTTCTAAAGCAAAGCTACAAATTCTAGAAGAAATATGGCTGTGTATTAGGCTCTCCAGCAAAGGTCAACACAAAGCTTCATTTTGTCTTTTAACAAATGCAGAGAACTGTTAAAATTCAGGAGTAAGGTGAAGAAGTCTTAAAGCTTAATGCTGTCGTTTTGTTCACCTGTGTGTCTGGCCAGTACAAGTCTACATTGATTCTTGAGGTGGTCTGTTGTTATAGCATTATCTTTCCCTTCTGCTCCAGGTGGTTTGTCTGCTTCGTTTCCAGCTTGCTAGATAGGTATTTGAGCAGAATGATTCTTCTAAAACTATGTAAACATATCACGTTCATATGTTCTGTTCATATTTTAGAACTTTGGTTGAGCTTGTTGTATAGTTAAACTCTTGTTTTCACTTGTGTTCTTTTTCTGTATTTAGTATCTCTAAGATAGTTAGTCTTTTAAATAAAATGAGTAACTCTTTAGAGTTGGGGGGCTTAAACACTTCAATTCACTGAGATTTTTCATTCTTTCTAGGAGCTGATTGACATAAAGATGCTGCAGTGTAAGAGGGTTATAAATGGCAAGTATAGCATTTATTTTGTTAATGTCTGTGAGTGTTCTTTTTTCAAGTTAAGAGAGCAGGTAATTATTTCTCTGAAATAATTTTATAGTGATATCAGTACGTATATTCTCTCAAAACACTGTCTGGGGTCATAAAATCAAGCTTTTGAAGCTCTCTGTTATACCTGTTTGCTGCTCTGCAGTTCAAACTTTCTATTTCCCTTCTTAAGGAATCTCAGTAGTTCAGTCAGTCGCTCAGGAAAAGCACAAATGTTTTTGGAGGAGAGGGCTAATGTATTAGTAACTCACAGTTTGTTGTTCTTCTTAGACGTAACACAAGTTCCTTCTCCATCCTTGATTTAATTTATTACAAGGATTCTATGAGTTTTCTGCTAAACTCTTTGACAGAGATCAGGTCACTGAGTGTGCAGGTACAGGCCTTCTAAAGTGTAAGTCTTTGTAATTCTAGCTCCTGGAATGATGTCTTTCTCTATTAAGAAAAATTCCATTAGTGTTGGAAATGCATTACTAATGTTTCAGCATTATGCTTCCAGGCAGCAGGTGAAAGAAGCTAGCAGCTGGAATAGACAGGACATTAAAGTTCCAGTGCATTGTTTGAAGTGTTAAAGCTTTTAGTTTTACGTGGGTTAAAAAGACAAATAATGACGTTAGTAATAATAGATTATCCTCCTCAGTTCTGTATTTACATACTAGCTTCAGCCTCTCATTCTCTGCTGCCTTTGTATGCTATTATAGTAAAGAATCATAGCATTGTCTAGGTTGGAAGGGACCTTTAAGATCATCTAGTCCAACCATCAACCTAACTCTGACAAAAACCATCACTAACCCATGTCCCCCAGCACCATGTCAACCCATCTCTTGAACACCTCCAGGGATGGTGCCTCAACCCCTTCCCTGGGCAGCCCATTCCAATGCCTGATAACCCTTTCAGGGTAAAAATTGTTCCTAATCTCCAATCTGAACCTCCCCTGGTGCAACTTGAGGCTGTTTCCTCTTGTCCCATCACCTGTGACTTGGGAGCAGAGACCGACCCCCCCTGGCTACACCCTCCTTTCAGGGAGTTGGAGAGAGCCAGAAGGTCTCCCCTCAGCCTCCTTTTCTCCAGGCTGAACACCCCCAGCTCCCTCAGCCTCTCCTCACAAGACTTGTGCTCCAGACCCCTCACCAGCTCCATTGCCCTTCTCTGGACCCCAATAAACAGTAAAAAAACCTTTTATTTGGTTTTTTGGTTGGTTGGGTTTTTTCAGAAATTTTATATGTGTCTGTGCTAACATAAGATCTAATTTCCTGAGCAAAGCTATTAATATTAGTTACAAAGCCTTTTAATTTTTCAAGAAAAGTCTGATAGTGTCTAAGAAACAAATTCAGAGACAGTTTCCAATCATGAGTCTTTATAAACATTAGCTCTTTGTGACATAATATACACACCTTTTAGTTTACTGCTTTAAGGAAGCAAGACATACAAGAGATTACTCTTTATCATCCTTTTATTAACTTGAGATCCATGGTCTAGATTTGACCTAATGCGATTTTCACAGACAAGTTCTTAAAAAGATTCCCTTGGAGACCCAGAGTGTTGGGGTTTTTTTGTGTGTATGTATGGTTGGACTCGATGATCTCAAAGGTCCCTTCCAACCATGAAGATTCTGTGATTCTGTAAGATCTCCCCAGCCAAGTGGCACGAGAAGCAGTTGTTTGTAGTGTCCCTGTTGGGGAGCTGAAGTCCACTACAAATTTACTTTCTCCTCCTGAAAAATGGTGCCAGTAGTTCTGCTGTTTGTGGAAGACTTACTTGATAGCATTTCATTTATATACAGGTCACATAGTCACGTGACTTCCTTTGTGATTACATTTATATATCATTTTTTGTCTGTTTTATCTGTTCCTCGTTTCATACAGAAGTACTTGAAACGGTGGACTTTGTTGCACCTAATGAAAGAGTTGTTTTCAGAACTTGTGAGAGGGAGAGGCACCATGTTGTCTTTCAAATGGTAAGAAACCACCCGCAGGTACTCTTCTGATAACAGAGTTAAACAAGGTAGTGCTCGTCACATTAATCCAAGTCTAAAGCAGCTGACTGCGTTGCAGACTCTCAATTTCTTCATCCTTCAGGTGGAGGTAAAGTTTCAAACCAAATGTTTTGCAAAATTTCTAATCCGTTGGTACACATGCAGTCAAGATGCTACATTATAAGCTCTCCATACAGGTGTCTCTGGAAGAGGTGGTTAAGAGGAATTCTGTGCTCTATGACAGCACCTTGTTTTTGTAACAGGTATCTTTGATATATTTCCAAACATATGGATACCAAGAATAAATTATGCTGATGTTTGATCACATGTTGAAGTCTTGCACTGTTAAGTAAACAGTCTCACTGGAAAGACTGAAAGAAATGGCATTGTTTAGTGTGGATAAGAGAGGATTAGTGTGTGCATTGACATTGCACAATTGGATTAAAGGCTGCTGGAGAGAAAAAGGTGGTGATTTGTTCTTTGAGACCACTCTGTCTAGAACAAGAGATGGTGGGGGTTGGGGGAAGGGAGGGAGGAAGAAGCGTGGACTGCATTAGATACAGCAAAAGACCTGTTTCAGTGGTAATGATAGCCAGGGAACTTGGTGCCTGTAGAATTACTATTCGTGGAGCTTCTTAAGAAGGTGATAAATATCTAATGGTGATGGGATAAGACCGTCCGATACCGCTGCAGGTCATGAGCATGGGCGGGCCTCTGGGGATCCCTTTTTGCATCACCTTTTGTCATTCCGTGGCTGATTTAGTACATGCTTTAGCTAATTGTTTTAAATGTTCAGAGCAAATACAGTTACACAAATGTGCAAGTAAGGAGTTGGGTTTTTTTGAGGTGATGATATTTTCTAATTTTAAATCCTCTTGTTTTACCAACAGGGTTCAGCAGATGCTGAAAGAGCTCTGGCAGTAGCTAAGCTTGTGTAAGTCATCTTCTCTCACCCCCTTCCCACCACAGGGTTTTTTGGGATTCTTGTACAGAAGAATGTCATGGAAGAGAATTTTTTTTATGATTGCAGGGATATTGTGATAGGACCTAGAAAAGTTCTGTAGGAACTGCATGGTAAAATGTAGCACCTTGAAAGTCCAGGGGTATAACGATGTAACTGCAACTTCCATTTAAAGTAATTCTTGCTCAAAACAACGGCTGCATAAACTCTGTCCTGGGATTAATGGCATTTTGCTAGTGCAGCAAGTGTGTCCTTGTTCTCTCCAGTGTGACATTTCCCTGGGTATGGCACACCTGCAAGTCAGACCAATATGCCTGAAAACTTCTCTTACCATTTGTGGTTTGAAGCTTCCAATAAAGTATTGTGCAGAAATGAAAAGTGTCTCTCAAACCTTTTGAAGAGATGTTTTTAAGTCTCCATTATAAATAGGAGAGAGTTTCAATAGGACTTGCTTTAGTGATAGTGGTGAATTTAGTGTTGGATATATCCTATATGGACATATTTAAGATGAGCTTTTGCAGCTTCTTCACAACACTGGTCATTGAAACCTGGTGACAAACTCATCTTCAGACCACTGTTAAAATAAATACATAACTTATTTAAGTGAGAAGCTAAAAATTCAGAAGTTTAAATAAAAACTTAACCTTAAATTCTCATTTAAGCCTTAATGGTGATGGAACAAGTTTCATGGAAAGATGTCTCTTTCTTGATTCATATTCTAATATGTTGAGAAATATTTTAATTGTTTGTTTTTTCTCTTTCAGAGAGGGTGATGTAGCTGGTATTGATATCAACATGGGATGCCCAAAGGAATATTCTACTAAGGCAAGTGGATTTTGATTGCTCTTAAATAAGCTTTTTCTTACTTCGAGGTATGGAGTGTGCAATGTATTTTCTGGTTTTCTGGGTTGAACAAATTGAAACAGCAAAATTTTTATGCAGGTAAACTTGAGTTTATTTTTTTGCAATAAACAAAAGAGTCTTGAAGGTGTTATGGCCCTAATACAGTAAAATGACATGGTCTATTAGAAATCTCCCTTAGGAATAGGTTTGGTCATGTAATTAAATATCCCATAGCCTGAAGTGAGTAAGCATGTATGAAGTTTGTGAGCTCAGGTTGGTGTGGATGGGTACCACTGAATAAGTGGTGATTGTATTTTGTGGCAAGACAACCACTGAATATCGAGAAAAATGTAATGAGGTTGTTAAATTGTATTATTGTACAAAGTTAACATTAAAGCTATTTAGAATTCTGAAAACTCTGACAGGCTATGTTGTATGTTGCATTTAAAAGTAAATTCTGTAGGGTGAGATGAGTGGGGTGGGGGTTGTTTGTTTTCCTGGGGTCATTAATTTTTTGGATGAGTGAAATATGTTCTGCTTAGCCTTAATAAAAACAGGAATCACAGTTTGCCATGTAAGCAAGTAAATATTCGCAACTTAGCTATGCTGAATTCAGTTACTGGTCGGTTTTAAGTGAGAGGAAGATGGGTCAGTCAAAACATGAATTATTTATTTATTAGTTAAGCATATGCCATTCTAAACTAGTCCTCTGTCATCTGTGTCTAAAACAGCATGGTCAAACTGGTTGTTAGCGCTGTGAAGTCAGTTAATGCGTAGATAAAGTATCAATGAATTAGGCCACAGAGCTAGCCATTTTGATGTCAGATGTTCATGCAGAATAGGTAAGAGAAATTTTGCACTTAGTGTCAAAAAGAACTTCAACTTAGAAGACTTAAAACTTGATTCCAGGGAAGAAGCCTGGCTGATGCATTTCAGCTTTCTGTCCTCTAGTTCTTGTAGCACCACCGTTCTTAGCATTGGAACAAGTTCTCTGTCATGTGAAGCTGTAATGCTTCATCCTTTGAACAGAAAAGCCAGTATATCCACATTGGCAGTACTTTCACTTCCTGTTTCTGTGTTACCTGTCTTTACCTCTGGAAGCTTTTTACTGGTTTTTTACTAAAGCAAGAGCACAAATGTAAATGGTAGCTTGAGATCTGCCCTGAGCTTTTATAGATCATACATATTTTCTTTTGTCAAACCAAATAAAACTTTTTTTTTTCCCTTCTCCCCTTTCAGAGTAGAAAAAAAATAAATTTCTGTGGCAGTTTGTTGATTTTTCTTCCCCTCTCCCCTTTCACAGTAGAAAAAAAAATAAATTTCTGTGGCAGTTTGTTGTATCTGGCACATAAATACATGGCTGATTGAAATGTGGTATCTGGTGCATGAAAGCAATATTGTTTTAAACAGACAAATAGTAAAGGCCAAAGGTGACACTGCCAAACATGCCCGTACCTTGCATGATGCCATGACATTGTGCTGACTCTACTCCACAAGTGTATCATCCTCCTTTCTCAGTTTTTCAGCCAAAAGAAAAGAATGCTTTGTCCAAATGGATTTCCATTAATGGAACTTATCTTTTGATAAAACTACTTTAAAAGGGTTTATTTTAGATCACAATGCCTTAAATAAATAAAAGGACAGACTGCCGTGGAGTTTTGGAGCAGAAGAGCCAAAGGGTCCTAGTGGCGGTACATGGAGTATATAAGGGAGGGCTGATCTTTTTGCATCACAAAGATTGCTTTTCCTTTGGAGTCTGTGAGGTGTGGGCAATGGTCAATGTTGAAAGTACTGTGTGACAGTGCAGGAAAATCATAAGATGGATCAATTTATAGGGGGATTTTCTGTTTCACTACTTAGTTTTGTAGGTTGGCTTGTATTCTGAAGAATAATTGCTTAAATTCTTCTAATATGGCCCATCTAACTTATGAATAATTTTGCCTACATACGTTTCTAGGGTTTTTCTGTTTTAATCCCATTTACGTTTTTGTTTCAATGATAGCTTATGAAAATGACAAGGTAAGTGAGGTGTGGTGAAAATAAATATTTCACATTCTTTTAAACTCAAATTTTAATTTCCCATGTTCTGTAGTCTATTTATGTATTTAGGTTCTTTTGTTTCTTCTCTTACTCTGTTTTTCTACTAGATGGCTTTTGAGATAAAGTGGTATTACCAAGAAACTAGTCATGTTGAGAACATGTCATTAAATTCATAACGGTCTGATGTAATGTTTCTTTAGCCTTTATTACTTTCTTCTGTATTATAACTGATTACATGGAAGACTATTTCATCGTTCCATGGAATCATAATTAAGAACAAAACATCAAAACGTCCACCCTGTACTAGGGTAAAATTCATAGAATTTTGAATGTATTTCTTACATTTGCCTGTTGGCCTCCAGATTTATGTATGCAGATGAGATAGTGCAGAAAGAACAGCTAAAATATTAAATTGTTAAAGTGTTCATAGTTTGTACTTAATACAGCCACTTAATTTGTCTTGGCTTGTTTTTCTAAATGCCGTGTGCATACAGAAACTGCTGACATCAAGCGGTCTCAAATATGGTGTATAATGTTAAAACAATAAATGTGTTCAGCTCTCATTTAATGAGTAGAAACCAGATGATTACAGTTGCTAAAAATGACTTTTTGAAATTCTCTCTGCTCCATACAGTAATGGGAGCAAGTTGGTGTCCTGAATTACTACCTAATTATTCTGACACAGTTCTAGGAAGTGTTTCACCAAAGTGTTCACTAATGTTCCTGCATTTTAGATTTTGCATTTTCTCCATTTTTCTTTTTTTTTTTTTTTTAATGTAACATCATACTTTTTCTGCAGACTCGTATTAGGCAAAATAATTGAGTAGGGAAATAAGTTTGCCTAGTGTGTAATGAACAGTTTCTGTGTGTTTCCCCAGGGAGGTATGGGAGCAGCACTGCTGTCTGATCCTGACAAAATAGAGTCTGTAAGTATCACCTTGTGGGTTTTGAACTGCCTTGAAAGGTATTATGTACTGTGCTCTGCTGGAAGCAGGAATGAATGCAGAGGAAACAGATTTGTAAAAGCCAGAGTGGAATAATCAATTTTGAATACTGAAATTAAGGTTATGGATAACTAATCCTGATTTAGTTCTCCTTGTTATTGTTCTGACTGTAAAATTGCTATCTTCTTCCTTTTCAGTTTCAGACCTTTCACAACATGGTGCTGTGTTGTGAAAGGAGGAGTTTCATGTGCATATGCATGTAAATCTGTATAAAACCCTATGAACAAGGATGAAAAAGGACTTCTAAGTTTCCTGAGGTTAAACTGAGTTCAGATATTGCTCTGGGTTTCCAGGATCGTTCTTATCATATAGCTCTTTTCTTTCTGTTTAAAGACCTGCTTCTTCGTAGTTTAGATGAGTTGACTGTGAACTTTGTCTTGCTTCCCCTTAGCTTTTAGTCACTCACTGCATCCTCCTTCAGAGATCCTGAGGGCAGTTCTAGTTTACAATTCACCTCTTGGTTACAGCTGAATCATGGTGGCAAATGTTTCAAGGTAGTTATTCTTTATTTCTTGTACTGTCAAAACTATGCAGATCCGAACAAAACAAAAATACCAAAAACATTGCTCCGCCTTTTGGGTGGTTCTTTTTTTAAGGATTCTTTGATGTCAGTCAGTCTTTTGAAGCGATCAGACCTTCTTCAGTCATCTGCATGACTTTTTTTCTTTTTTTATTTTTTTCTTTCTGAATGATAGCCAGTCTCTTTCTGATCCCTGCTGGTCATGCCTTTTCCTTCTGTCTAAAATGGATGTTGCATCAGTCTTTCTTTTCTAAATCCTTCCTCTTACTGTGATAACACCATTCAGCTTTGTAGGCCAATAGGACTTCTACAGATTCAACAAGCTGATCCATTGCTTAGTTACCCTTCTTTATAAAATCAGACATGAAAGCAGGTTGTTCTGTGTCATTTATGTTCTCTGAGGACATGCCATTGGAAGAGCGTGTCATCAAACCTAGGATGGAGTGTTAGCCTTTTGCCAAATGTAAGAATCTCTTGGAGTCAAGAGTCACGTTGTTAGCCAAGCTGTGTAAACTCACCATTCAGCAACTGGAAGCATTATTAATTGTGCCAAAGCAAAAATTTAAATAGAATAGACTGGACCTATTACTCTGTCTTTCATTAGCTGGTGGGAAAAACAAAAGTACAAGTGATCCTGTCTTGATCGCAGAACATTTTTAGAGAAAGGTAGTATCAATTTTTCAAAAGAGGAAGCACAATAAGGGGTTGGAGCATCTCCCTTAGGAAAGGCTGAGAGAGCTGGGGCTCTTGAGCCTGGAGAAGAGAAGGCTGAGGGGAGACCTTCTGAATGCTGACAAGGATCTAAAGGGTGGGTTGAAGGAGGATGGAGCCAGACTCTTTTCAGTGGTTCCCAGTGACAGGACGAGGGACAACGGGCACAAGCTGGACCATGGGAAGTTCCACTCAAATATGAGGAAGAACTTCTTTGGGGTGAGGGTGGCAGAGCCCTGGCAGAGGCTGCCCAGGGAGGGTGTGGAGTCCCCTTCTCTGGAGATCTTCAAGCCCCGCCTGGATGCTCCTGAGTGATGTGCTCTGGGCAGCCCTGCTTTGGCAGGGGAGTTGGATGATCTCTAGAGGTCCCTTCCAACTCTGACAATTCCCTGATTCCATGATCCTGTGATCAAATAAGTGTAGTTATTTGCATAAAGTCACCCAACAATACAGGCGACAGAACTGAAACCAGACTCCAGATTTTTTGAGGCCTATATGGTCTTCTATGAATTAGGTAAGGTGAGTGATACCACCCAGAATTAAACTGTAATTTATGAAGTGTGAGGTGATGAAGGCTGAAAGAAAAAAAACTAAGAGTGGGAATTGAGAGAAAAATATTTACTTCTAGCCTGCTAAATCTGGTAAAAACATTTCTCATAGGAATGAGAGGCAGTAGTAAATATGATTGCTAAGAGCTTCCCTTGTCCTCTACAGTCATTACATTGTGTTTTAACCTTCAGAAGAGCAGGGAAGTTGATGTTCAAAAAATTTTGAATTGTTCTTTCCAATTTAAGATGTTAATAGGCAGCAAAATCTTAGGCATGAAAATTACTCTTAGCTAACTGCGAAGGGATAAGTAAACTTACAGCCTGCAAAACACATCTGCAATTGCAGCTCCAAATCAAGCTTTCCACATGATTAAAAAGTGTAGGATTTGGTTCTCACATTAGAATCCTCAATGAGACTGGCACTGAAAAAACTTCAAAGGTTTGCTTATGGTGCTATTCTAAGAAAGATGTTGTAGTGATGTTGGTTGGAAAATGTTGTCACTTCAGTTTGATTTATATGCAAAAAATAGTACCAATTAAAAATACTAAAGCGAAGGAAAGGGTTAGATAATTATCTCAGATCTTACTGCTTTACAGGAGGAAAGATTTCAGTAGATGGCACAAGGTGACACTAATTACTTGCCAGCTGTTCTAAATATAAGAACTTGTGCGTGCTAGATATAACAGCTCATTTCTGTATTGGGAAACTAATAAGTGCAGTTTACATTAAACAAAATTCAAGTTTCATAGTGTACACAACTGTGAAAGAAATAATTTACCTGCAGTTCCAGCTGTTTTATACAAGGGAAATATACTCAGAATATCATGCATGATAATATCTCAAAAAAAAACCCAGTTGGAAAACGGTCAGTTTCCTAATAACAGTCAGGATCAGCTGGTTTCCACTCTTTTTTATTTATAGAGCTGTTGTATTTCTGGTACCATTTATTGTATAGTCATACAGTGACTAAATGTGTATAGGTCATTATATGGCCCTTTTAGGTATGGTCAGGTCAACTTAAATTCAGCCTGTGAGAAGGAGATTCTTTCTGTAGCTCAGCTCCTAAATGGTTAAACTAAGAACTGCTCCTTTGCTTATTCTGAGTTTGTTTTAATGAACAAAATGTGCTTTGTGTTAAGTGTGGAATTCGGTTTACAATTTTTGTTTTCTTTCAGAAGATTCAATGATGTTGTTGCGTGATATTTTCCTTTTTTTTTTTTTCCATTTGAAGGCCTTCTCATTTAAAAAAAAAAAGAAATTCTCTTTAGGAAATCTTTGGTTTTTATAAGAAACTCACAACTGGAAAACGGACTGTGAAAACAATTGCAAGAAAATGAAAAGCTTTTGCACTTTATTTTGAAATGATCAGAGAATACTGGTCACCTCATATTAGAAGCAGTGTTGAAACTCCAGCAGCAGTTAATTGCTCTGTAAAAATCCAGTTAACAAAAGTGGTGGAAATAAAAATGGCTTAGACTAGAAATAGGTTTGTATATCTATTGGATAAAAATCTGTACTCAACTGCAGACTGCATGTGCTCATCTGGCATGCAAGAGTCTTTATAGAGAAACAGTAACTAGTGTTACGTTGTTCTATTTTTTTTGTATTTCCAAGAGAGAAAGGAGAGCTTTATGAATGTCACTGTTGTGATCACAGTTTTGTCTTCTTTTTTTTTCCTTTCCAGATACTGACTACCCTTGTTAAAGGAATTTGTAAACCCGTAACCTGCAAAATACGCATTTTGCCCTCAGTAAGAACATAAATTATTATGTTAAAGTGTTTAATTGGTTTTAATTCTGTGATTTAAAATTAATTGAAGTATATGTTATTCTAATACGTTGGCATTTTAGACCTGTTATTGTGAAATAATGCTTGGAATTGCAATTTCTGTTTGGGATGTGGTCACAACCTAAAGGGTTATCTGACCTGCAGGTGGTAGAGATAGTGATTGTGGGTTTGTTGGATTCCATGATACACGAGGACACAGAGGCTTCTATCCTCTGAATTTCTAAACTTTATTACAAATTACCACAAATACCACAAAAATCACTGTGGCAAATATACCTATGATTAATAAAGGAAGATATAGATACATCTATCTATAGCTATTGCAAATTATTAGCAGTGGCAATCAGTGGTATAATAGAAATTATTAATATGGCAGCAATCAATGATAGCAACAACCAAGTAGGTATATACTATTACAAGGTACTACAGACTTATCACCCATGAAGCAAACTTGCCAATAATGTAACAGCAGATAACATTACTTATATGCATATAAATAGATATGTATGTTCATAGTAGTAACACTGGTATCCAGTGCATTAGACAGATCCCAGAAGGGTCCAAACCATCCCTGACAGAAGGACAAACTGATGATCCCAGAAGGGGACCCAGCCATCCCAGAAGCACAAAGACAAAAGTAGGCCCAGGGGGCACCCATAAAACAGCAGACAGAGACTCCAAAGGCCATGTGTGTCATGGAGTCTGGAGTTGGCCAGGTGTCCCTGCCAAGAGTCCAAGATCTCACAGGAAGTTTGTGCAGAGAGTTCAACCTGTTTAGGAAAAGTATGTGCAGCATGGGAAGCTCTCAGAGAGAGAGAGAAGCTCCTTTTTGGATGAAAATTAAATTATTTTTATGTCATGGAGACACAGAGGCCATAGGCCACCGCCCCTCGAGCAGCCAGTAGATTCTGTTAATTCTTATTTTTCACCTGGGGCAGCTAATAGATGATTGTTTTCTGTTCTTTCAGATGAATTTTTCATTTTTTCCAGACTGATTTCATGTTCTTGCAGTTAGAACAACCAATGACGGTTACAGATTCTTGCTTGCTTGGTTTTTCTAGCCTATTTTTTACCTTTTCAGATGATAAATTGCTGATATGGCTCCTTGGTTTTGCACTTATTGATGGTATCTCAGGATGTTGCTGGTTTCTAGGTACCCAGCTGCACTTAATAAGGATGTTTCTGGCTTCCAGACTAACAGTTTTGAGGCTGGCATTAATTTTCTCTCTCAGAATATTTCAGAAGATCTTCTTCTTCAGTTCAGTAATTTTCCCCTTACAACCAGGTCACCTTTCTAGCTGCTCACATCAGATGCCAAACTTCATTTTTCCTCTCTAATTTAAAGAGTCAAAAAGCTACTAAACATTAATGTCTACATGGCCTTATTCCATTGAACTCCAAATGTGGATACTTCTGTTAAGTACTTCTGTACCTCTGAGTTAATCCCAAAACTTTTGCTGGTGGATAAGCACTAAATAAAAAGGAAGATGACACACTAGTTTTAGAAGGCAACTGCCAGATGTGGAATAGACTGAGAGTAACCCCATGTGTATGTAAGCACAGTGTGATGAACTTTGAATTTCTTGGCAGTCTGCTTGAAGAGGGGAAGACCGAGCCCTAATGTCACTTCTCTAACTCCCAACATTCATGTTAATAATGAAGATTTCACTGATGAAATTGTGTTTACAAAAGGAAGTGCCTGTGCATGTACCTTCTCTTCTAATGACTGATTATTTTGCAATTGTGTATTTAATTACCTGCCTAGATACATGATTGCATATGACCTGGATAGACATTTCTGTAGATGGGTGAGCTGTACCTGAGCTACCTGTTGTTTGAAAGTCATTTACACGTGCACTTAAAATGATTAAAAGAACAAATGAAGCCTATATGAGAAGAGTTGGTAACTCTGGAATCGTTTTCATTCTGAGGTACTAAAGTAAGAAATCAAAGAACTGGCACCTTTCCCTTTTATTTTCTACTATCCTAGAGCCTCTTCCTTTTTGTTTCAAGCTGCTTTTGCGTAACATGCCATCCATCAGAACAGCAGGTGAGCTTCTGTCTCTATGTCCGTGCCAGCTGGGAGGGAGATGTTGCATTTTTCAAAGGCTGAATGTGCTAATTTTGTGATGAGCCACAGATCATTCTCCAGATTTTGAAAAGAAAATTGGCCTTATCTTTTTAACAGTATCTTACCTCTGAAGATATACTGGGAGTTTCCGCTTTCTCCCCTGTATCTTTTGATGTCATGTACAAGTATCATTAGAATTTTTTAGGTACTAGTAAGCTTTTTAAAGACACATCTGAGAGGAATATTTATAGATGTGTGATTGTGTGTTACATTGATTTCAGAAGGCATCCTCTTATTAAAATACATTTTAATTACAATTTGCAGAGTATTTGTTAGAGAGGACTTGCTAGTCAAGTGTTTTGTGTCATTTTCAAATGACGGTCTAAAAACCTGTTGGAAAATATTCTCTTACTACAGAGTATTGTGTTACCTGGTTTGAGGAAGTTTGCTATCTATAGTTTCAAGGAAATATTGAAAATGGTTCTTATTTTTGCCATAATATGTAGTTCTTTATTGGGAGTTAAAGTTGAAATACAAGAATCATAGCTCTTGATAAAAGAAAAGACTCCCAACATTTGTTTGTACAGTGATTGTGTGATAGTTATTCCTTTTGCTTTGAACTAAAATCATGTCATTTTCCCATATCCCTCAGGTTGAGGATACTGTGAATCTGGTAAAGAGAATAGAAAAAACTGGTATTGCTGCCATTGCGGTCCATGGAAGGTAAATCAATTTCAGGCAAGAGAGACTTAAATTTTTATTTTTTCTTTAGTTTGCTGATGAATGAAGCACAGTAAAATATGACTAGAATGTACTCTATATGTATATCTAGAGTAAATTATGTATTATGTAATATATGCAATATGTGGTTCTGATTTCAACTGCTAAATAAATCGGTGGTGTAGAAAATCAGGCCAGTAATTAGAGAATTGAATGACTTGTTACTATTTTTCTAAAATTTTTGTCTCAAAGACCAAATAAAATTAAAACTATCTTGCATACTGTATCTAAAAATGCTGCTTATCTTGATATGGAATTACAGTAACAGTGTTTTAAAATTTATTTGATATGAAAGAATTCTCTTGTGTTTAAAGAAAAAAAAAAAGTAAAATTTCATCAAATATATTAATAAGTGGAAATAAGTATGTCCCAATAAACCTTGAGTTGTGTCTGCTGTGAGTCAGATGCCTACAAATTCCATAGGAAATCTTTGGTCTTGTCTATTTTTGTTTACTGGAAAGGAAGAAGGAGGAGAGACCTCAGCACCCTGTCCACTGTGATGTGATCAAAGCCATATCTGAAGCAGTCTCCATTCCAGTAATAGCAAAGTAAGTTGGGCTAATTAGCTCATTATTGCAAGGTGCTTGTACTTAAGATTTGCAAGTGCAGGAAGATCTTTCATGTGGGGTGAATACAGTGTTAAGCATTACCAAAAATCACATCCGAATAGAGGTGGCAGTGCCAGAAGTTGGCTGTATGAAATACCACCTTACCTCAGTTTTTAGTTTAAAAGTTCTACCTGTTTGTAAAAAAATTTTTGTTTTCGTGTGTCAAAGTCTCTCCTAAGTGAGCTGTTCCTGATTGCATCCAGCAGTTGAATTCTCTGTGCTTCTAAGCCCTGTGCAGTGACTGGTTATAACCCTTCTGCTGGGCGTCTGGGACACTTGCACACCAGAGATCACCTTTCCCACTGCTCAAACCAGTGGGATATTCTGTGGCCTCACATTTTCCTTGAGACCTCCTTAGTCTCCAGACGTAGGGACATGATGCCACTGAATCACTCTGCTTGTATTGATAGATCCTTTAGTAACTCTGGGATAGTAAAATAAGGAACTCAGAAAAGTTTAGCTGCAAACTGGTAAGTTTAAAGAGCAATTTTGAAAGCAGACGTAATGAAAAGTATCAAACTGTCCTGAGTTGTATCTGACCAACATCTTTAGATGTTTCATCTCTCTCTAAGTAGCAGTAAAATACCCTTGGGCAGAGAAGCAGTGTCCTTAAATGAAGTTCTCTCTTCATTGATCTTGAAATTCATGGAAAAGCTGCATCTCTGCAAAACATATACTTGGATCAGGAATTTGAGAACTGTTTTCCTGTTCACATTTCTATGTACATGTAGAAAATACACTGGAAATCACAATTTTTGCAGTTAGAAAACCTTTTTCTGTTCTAGATAAAGGAAGTATTCCATACGGATAATCTTTGTTGGTCCACTTCTCAGTGGTTCACCCCTTTCTAGTTTTCAGAAAATTTTTTTAAACAATATGGAATTAAAAAACAAAGCAAAATTCACATTGTGCATTGTCATAAAAGCTTTGTTTGCCTGGATAAAAGATGAGGCCAACAATTTTTCTTAGCTTTTACACGTCACAGAAATGTTATCTCTATGTGAGTCCTTTCTGTGATGTGCAATGTGTGCAATTAAGATACAAAATGTGTGCAACTAAGATACAAAATATCAGAGATTTATTGTTAATAAATTGCTTCTAATTAATCCCTATATCAATTTACTTCTTTGCAAGTGTTCCAAAATGCTGAACGAACCTTAACCATTCTTTTTTTTTTTTTGATGGTTTCTCTGAAAATGATATGACCTTTGTTTTAAATCCACTTAGGGAAACGTTTCCCCCTCTAAAGAAATCAAAATGTACAACTTGGAATCTTGCTTATTAAATATATTTGGTCCATGATACAGGAATGAGTAAAAGGAAGTAGATTGATGCTAAAGAAAAGCAAGAAAACTTGAATTGGTACTATGATTTCTAGAATGATACTGTGTTTATGGAATAATCTTCCATAAGTGCAGGAAGCTTGCTTGTGCTGTTTTCACAATGTAAATATCTGGTTTTAAAGCAATTTATCGTTCTCTAGTTTTTATTTCGAATTTGAGAGTGTTTTCACTTTTGAAGGGATAAAGAATCCTACTCTTTCTTGATAGTTCAGAAGTCCAACTTTTACTTTACATTTAAAAGATGTTGCAAAGGGAAACTTTTAAGAGAAAGAAAAGATGGTTTAAATATTCTTTTTGCTTGCTAACATGTCTGACTTGCTTGCAGAGGCAGTACAATAGCAACTTTATTGTACTTTAAAAGTGCTTTGTGACTGGTTTGGAATTACTATTTGTAGTTGCTCTGCATGTGTTAGTGCCAGTACTGAATGATTCCATCCATGCTTAACTTGTTTTCAGCACCACTGGTGCCAGCCCAGGTAGTGTGCAGCTGAAGGTTACAGAACTGCTGTTCCCATTTTCCAAACAACATGGATATGATCCTTTGTGAACTTTGTCCATTAAGAACTCTATGAAAGCACACAGTTTGTATAAAACACAAAGTATGTTATTTCTTCACAACAAACATCTTCCTTTTTTAAGAGAAGTATGCTGATCATGAAAAATATTATATACAATCAATGTTTTAATGAGCCATTGCTAATGAAACTCTCAGGCCCATTTATTATCTTACATTTGAGATACTATCTTAAGTAGATTCTGCTGCCATTAATAATGTAATACCACACTGAAAATACAAGGTTGTGTTAAAGTATAAGTAATAGCAAATAAAACTTTCATGGTTATAACAGTGATGTTAATTTTTAGTGGAGGATCTCATGACTTCATCAAAGAATATACGGACATTGAGACCTTCCAGAAAGCAACAGGTGCCTCATCAGTCATGATAGCTCGTGCCGCCATGTGGAACCCATCCATCTTCAGAAAAGAGGGTCTTTTCCCCTTGAAAGATGTCATGCAAGATTACATCAAATATGTATGTTTTTTGGAAGATCTTACTTGTAGATAACATTGTTTAGAATTGTCAATCCACATCTTGGTACAGTATTTTAACTCCTCTTAATTTCAAAGACTTAAGCTCTGGGGACAGTTTAACATACTGCATATGACATGAGTTTTGCAAATCAACCACTACTACTTCTATTTTATTTTGTTCAGAAAAAAAATTCAGAAATCTGTATTTGGAAAACAGTTGTTCCTGAACATTATTCTTGTACATACTTATAACCCTACTTTCTTGGGAACATTTATGAGGCTTTTCAAGGCTACCTAAAAATGTTTAGGAATCTGAAAAGCTAATGATATGTAGGCCAACTCTCTTGATGTTACGGTAATACAAATAATATTGAACAGAGAAGTGAAGGAATATTAAATACTCAGTTACTGCTAGAGTCATTTTGAGAAATTTTTTGCTTTTCACAAACACTGTCCAGAGTTTTTAACAGCAGGGAAGCGAAACGACTGGTTTGCCAATGAAGTAATGCTGTATATCTATAGCTTCATTAGCTGAGTCATCTACTATATAAAGTTTTATCTGTGATTCAAAATACAAAATTTTAGGGACGTGATAGGAAATTAATCGGAAATTTGTGGCTTTGGTCATGTAATCAATTCAAAGTATTTTGTTTTTTAAAAATTTGGACTGCCATTAACTAAATACTTACTAAAATGTCACTGTATTGCTAATCAGTTATGTAAACTGGTCAATTCTTTCTTCCTAAGTACATAGAATGAATTTATATGAATAAGCTAAACTTCTGTTCATGAAAGCATGCTGAAATAATCAGATTATACTCACATTCATGAGCACTCTTGAATATGTTATTGAAAAAACTGTTTGTTGTGGTTTGCCTTTCAAAAAGGATTTTGAAATTAATCAAGAGAGACATGAGAATTATATAAGATAAATTTGTTTGGTACGTTTTTATATATTTTGTCTGTCTCCTCCAGGCAGTAAGATATGATAATCACTATACCAACACAAAATACTGTTTGTGTCAGATGTTAAGAGAACAGCTGGAAACTACTCAGGGTAAGAAGCTGCACGCTGCGCAGTCCACACAGGAGATTTGGTAAGTACATACTTCAGAAATAAGAATCATAGAATTGTAGGATTGTCTAGGTTGGACATCCAGTCCAGCCATCAACCTCACTCTGATAAAACCCATCACTAACCCATGTCTCTAAGCACTGTCAACCTGTCTTTTAAATCCCTCCAGGGATGGTGCCTCAACCCCTTCCCCGGGCAGTCCATTCCAAGGCTTAATAACCCTTTCAGTGTCAAAATTGTTCATAATCTCCAACCTGAACCTCCCCTCGTGCAATTTGAGGCTGTTTCCTCTTGTTCCATCGCCTGTTCTTTGGGAGCAGAGACCGACCCCCCCTGGCTACACCCTCCTTTCAGGGAGTTGGAGAGAGCCAGAAGGTCTCCCCTCAGCCTCCTCTTCTCCAGGCTGAACACCCCCAGCTCCCTCAGCCTCTCCTCACAAGACTTGTGCTCCAGACCCCTCACCAGCTCTGTGTCCCTTCTCTGGACCCGCTCCAGCCCCTCAATGTCTTTTTTTGTGGTGAGGGGCCCGAAACTGGACACAGCCCTTAAGGTGGAGCCTCACCAGTGCCAAACGGGGGAAAATTGTACTGTCTGGGAATTGTACTCTCTGTCAAGCTTCCAAACGACTTCTCTGTCTGTGGCACTGCCTGACACTTCTAAATTCCTGTTAGTGAGATGTGGAATAATACAGTAAGCATTTCCAGGTTTCCTCCATGCTCAAGTGTTAAAGTTTTAACCCTAAAACTGTCTATGTCTTCGACATACTAATTTGAGTGGTGCTTCACTGAGTTTCAGACATTTATCCAGTATTGACATTACTTCATTAAGAAAAGTTTCAGCTTTCTGTAGTGGCAGTCTGGAGGGTAATAGTGCGGAGCTTGTCTTCTTTGAGATATATTTATTTATTCTACTTTCCCTTTTGCATGTGGGGTTTTTAATGTTACTGGAATTTTTATGATAAGATGCTTGGTGTAAATGAACACTTAGAGATAAACTCAAAATGATGTATGAAGGTTGTCTACGTGATACTTAAATGTATTTCTTTCGTGCTGCTTTTCATACCTGAAATATGCTAATGAAGCATGACTACCTTTTTGAGGAAACATAGTAGCTTTAATGAACCTCTTCATCCTGGGGATCTGAAATAGTCTGGATGAAATTTCTCAAAGGGGGAGACTTTCTGTCTACCCCTTTCTGAAGGAAAAGTTTGAGAGAAACCATAAAATAGACATGTGATTGAAGAATTCACACAGAATGGAGGAGAATTTAGATTTGGACCCATCTCAAACTGAACAAAAGAAAGGTCTGAGGATGCACGTGACATCCATGTTGTGTGCTATAATTATTCTTCTGAGGGCATGGAGGAGAAGAGAGTCTCTTTGTTTTTATGAAATAAATAGTCTCAAACTGTTTGTTATCTTGCATGTATGAAAATGGGTAAAATATTGAAAGCTTGCAGTATTTTGCAAATGGAGGTGCTGTTTTCTGGCAGGCCCTACATTCTGTTTGTGTGAATGGAAATGCCTGTAATCCTTCAGCCAGTTCGTTACAATTTACCAAATTTGCCTCTCTATAAACACTGCTGTCCATGACTATTACATTACAATACAATGAGATGAATTTGTATTTTATATAAAAGGAGCTAGTCTTCATTAATCATAAAGGAGCAGTGGAATCCATGAACAACATTTACACTTTTCAAGTTACTTTTCACTTTTACCATGTAAATAGTTTAACAATAGTTACTATAGTAACTTACCATCTATTTTGCCTATAGATTTCCAATTTGGTTAGAAGCGATATAGTACAGATTGAAACTGAAACAATTTTTTACAACTTCAAATAAATATTAGCCAAAAGGGTGATGGTGTTCTTTACTGACTGAATAGTAATGTGTAGTACGGAGAGAAAAGAAATTTTAAGTAAGAGTCAAGCCTTTAAACAGGTAATAAACAGGTAATTAGAAGGGTCACAGTTTATACACTTAAACACTGGATAGAGATCTAAGGGTAAAAGTTTTGCCTACGCCTAACAATTCTTTAGGGGCTTCCAAAATTGAATGTAATCAGTTTTTGCATGTGTGATGCGATACCAATTTCAGAATTAGCTTAGGCAGCATGTGTGCGTGACAGAGAGACGGAGAGCGAGCCACTTGAAAATTTATAAAACTGCTTTCTATCAGCAGACTCAACCTTTTAAGCGGTGTTCTAAACAGTCTGGTTAATGTCCAGATAACAAGAACATTCAGTGCACCTATATATCTTCAGACAAAAATGCTACTTAATACTGCTGTCTCCTGGTGGTGGTGGCATATTACAGCCATTTGAGGTTTTAACCTCAATACTGAGTGCAAGAGAACAGCCTGCTGCATTTCAGACCAAAAAAATTACATAACAGCACATAATAAGTTGTCTTCTTTTAGAAGCATCAGTTAGCATTATTCACCTTTGTTGATTTTCCACTTAAAGCATTGGAGATTTTGTGACCAGAATTAATTACGTCATTGAACAGCTTTATATCAATGAGCAATCTCATAACAGTTGGAAAGTTAAAGTTTTTTATGCTGAATGCTTTATTGTTGTTGAACGATAAAGAAAATGAATAGTCTCATTTTTTGAAAGTAGATGCAGCCTGCTATGGATCCAAAATTTAAAAGGGTTTGAGGCTCTTGCCTTTGACCCAGGTCTTAGCTGCTTCCTCCCTTTTACTAGGGCTTGTGAATAATACTCTGAAGTCAGAAAACCTGAGATTTTGAGGTATTTAGATGTTACAGTGTTTATTGCTTATAGTATTTTTAAATACTAAAATTAGAAGCAGAATCTATTTCCTACTTTTCACTCACATTGCCCTTGTGGAGGTGATGCACCAGGAGTCAATTGGAGACATTCTTTGCTAATTCATCCACCTGCAAATTATTAATTATTAATTGAGCTAATAACTTGGAACATTGCAGGACCTGCATTTCTGATTGATTCTGCCTGGACTTTCAGGCTGAAAATTGACTGTATAGTCCTGGAAGTAAGAACATTCTTTTCCTATTTGTAGGTCAACAGTGTTTGATAAGAATTGAAGAAAAACAGTATAATGTCACTGTGCAGAAAATAGCCACGCTTTCATGTGATTCTTTGTACATAGATACTCTATTTAAATAATTGATTTCTGTACTTTATCATAATGTGATACAAAAATTCACAAGGTGATCTCTAATACAAAGACATTCTGTTTGACTAGTGAAGTCTTTGAAATGGCTGACTTCTATGAAGAAACAACAGCTATTTTCGAAGCAAAGAAAACATCTCTAGAAACTGAGACACAAGATGAAGATGACCAAATGGAAGATCCAGATGTAATAAAAATGGCTGTTAGATTTGACAAGTAAGCATACCAATTAAGTTCTTCACTACCTTGCTTCTGCAAATAAAAACTGTGTATTTTGACAGTGACAGATGTCATTATTTTGAAAGTAATAATTTTCATAGCAGCACTTACTAGGTGGATTTTTATGAAGCAATTTGTGTATGTCATTACATCATCACTAGCATCACCACTCTTCCGGTGCTGTTCGGGTGTTGTAAGATGTTCTTTAGTTCCAGGCTTCCTGAGACTGCTTAATTCTCTCAGTTAACTTATTAAAAGGGGTGAATGATTAAAAAAAAAATTCAAACATCTGCACTTAGAAGAATGTGAGCACACAAAGATATAGAGTTCAGTTATTTTTAGTGAAATTTAACTAAAACAGAGTACTACTTCTATAGAAGGTCCTGAACAAATTTAATAATACATTTTCTAAGTGGGTAATGTATAGGTTTATCTGCAGTCTTCTAAATGTGTTCCACTCGTAGGGTATCTAATTCATGGAGTAATGTACAGTATTATTTTAAGTAACCTTTGATTGTAATCTGTAAAGCCTATAAAAATGTTGTTACTTTCCACAGTATGTTTGTGGTTGCTATGTTTGCTATTGAGTCTATCAAACAGCCCAAGAGGAGTGTGACACAAAATGCTCCTCAAATCCAGTCATAGTGCTTTAATGTTTACAGGAGATATTACCTGTCTCCCTGATGGCTGAATACTCTGGTTTTACAGTATTTATTTTTTTCTGCCAAGTATAAGGGGCTGTAATTTCATGTAAAGTAACTGAATCAATGCCTACCTTTTCTACCCTTTTTTATTTGATAACTCCACTGTGTCATAACAGAAGCAGCTTCTTTATTCTTCAAGTGTTTAATCTTATATTGTTGCTTATAATAAGCAGTGCCAAACCGTCTCTGTTCCGTGTCGTATATTTATTTAGAATATCCTTTCTGGTAAGTAATTTTCATCTAGTTTTATTACTACAGGATGTGAATGTTTGGGAAGAATTAGTAGGAATGTTTAGATTTTTAGATGTTATATCAGACATATTACTTGAATAATAAAGAAGCAGCGTTTTTCTCATAATTTGAGCACAAAGAACAACTGCTAGAAGTAATACCGTAAGCATCACTATCTGTTTTAAAATAGAACTCTGTGTACTGTTGTTGACCACAAATTTTTCTGTCTAGGCGAGAATATCCACCACAGATTACTCCAAAAATGTATCTTCTGGAATGGTGTAGGAAAGAAAAGCATCCTCAGCCTGTTTATGAAACTGTGAGTCAATGAAGAAACTCTTTCAAACTTTTTCCTCTGCCTTGTCTATGAAATTAAGTATTTTAGGACTCTTGGTAGTGAGAAATTCTGCTTCCCAGTCTGGCATAGCTCTTGAGTAAGCAGCGTCAGATATGAAAACAGTGGCTTATTTTATTAGAAAATAAAAATTTACAAGTCAGGCCTTCAGTCTGGTTTTGATTCATGTGTGAAAAGTTGCTGCAACAACAGGTTGTTACATAGTTCATGACTGACATCCTTTTACTTTTTCTGTGAAGTAAGGAGTTTGGATTCAGAATGTTTTCTCTGTTGCACACTGTTATAGGTAGGAACTACTTTGGGCAGGAGCAACTGATTGGTTAGATAGGGAAATTAGCTGATTTTTTTTTTTTGAAAGCAAAAACTATTTGCGGTTTGAAAAATTTCCTCTTTTTTTAATCTTAAAATACACAAAGTTAAATTTGTGGTGTGAATTACAGTAATTTTAAAGGTGTTACTCAATTGTGGTGTAAAGACAAGAATAACAAGGAACCTTGACAATGTTGTGAGTTCTGTAAATGACATGACTGATTTTGACACACCCTTCCATTTGAATTCCTTTTTTCTCCAGGTTCAAAGACCGCTGGATAGATTGTTCTGTTCAGTAGTGACAGTAGCTGAGCAAAAATACAGATCAACTCTGTGGTAAGCTATCAAGTGGTTTTTGCAGCTGTATTGTGATTGTTTGTGAAATGTTGCTTAAAACTTGCAATGAAAAGGTACTCCAGTTTGTTCCAGTTGACGTTGATCAAAGTCAACTAAAACCTGCCTTCTAAAGCTACCTCTGGGAGGGAGAATGGATTAAAAATTTCTGAGAATTGAATGTGACGAGGAAGTAAGCTTTAGCATAATCAAGTAAACCACTACAGGTTTTAATTCACTTAGTACATGAGTCCACAGGTTGTATTGGAAGGGCAGCAAATAGGTGACCTGGTTCAATTGAGTCTGTGAAGAGTTCAGAAACTCATCCTGGAAGGCAGAGGGGGATGTTGAAGGAGGTAACATCTACAGCCAGTACAGCACATCTGCTCCCAGTAACAAGTCAGGACTCAGTCTCTATATACAGTGAAGCAGAGGACAGTTTAGTGGCTTCTCAGAGATCCCGATCAACAGTTACATCCAGGGCTGCTCTAAGGTTTAATGACAGTATTTTATATGATCATCTGTTAATACTGGAGGTGACCTCAGGCATTCGCACCGAAGTTGATTTAACTGCAAAGCTAGAGCTCAGCATTGAACATTTTGAAGAGGACAAAAGCAGAGAGCAGTGACTGGTGTTTGCAGCATTCCTCTTCAGAGACCTTAGGAAGCTAAACTCAGCTGAGATGAAACTTTGAGAAGAGAATGTTTTCGAATACTGAATTTCACAAATCTTTTAAGCTGCAGTCCCTCTCACAATCAACAGAATTTTGATTATTATGGAACAGTTCCTGCGCACCTCCCAGAGATTATATTTGGGCCTTGGTGTCTTTCAAGAAAAGTGATCCTTCAAAACTCAGTTTTGTTTAGCGATCATATTTGTAAAACTTAACTTTCTGAGGATTGCAGGCACTTGGGCCAAACACATGTTGAGTTCATACCTCTGAAAAGAAGAGTGTTTAAGACACAAAACCCGGTAGATACCAATTTTCTAGGAAAGTTACCTCAGGAGTGATGCATCAGCATTAGCACCTAGAAAGGTTCAGATAATTTCTGAAACTGACCTATTTTGTTCTTCTGTGAGATGTTTATTTCATGATGTTGCATCAGAGACAGGAAACTGTTTGGCTCTTGGCAGCGTAGAGACTTCAGTTTCTACTTTTACCTGTGCTGTGTCTGCTTTGCTCTTCAGGGACAAGTCCAAGAAACTGGCAGAGCAGGCTGCAGCTATTGTCTGTCTGAGAACATTGGGTGTCCCGGAGGGGAGGCTGTGTGAGGGAGAAAGTCCCCTGATAAACAAACGCAAGAGGGAAGATCAGGAGCGTTTGAATAACAGAGACCACGGAGAAGACCTCGCTGAGCCTTCCCATAAAAAAGCTAATTTTATTGAAGGAACTTCTGACATGAATGTGCCTAAGGTGCCACGATAGCATGGCAATTAGAGGTTTCACGCGTATGCGGCTACAGATTAGCTCCTGTTTGTATATCTTGCTGTTCACATTTCGTTTGGATTCTCCTGGAGATGGATTAATTCCCCAGTTGTGAAAAATGCCAATGAGATGTTTACTGTTCACCACTCACTATCCCTATGGTGCCTTCCAGACAGGATAAATCAGCAACATGATTTTAAAGAATATTGAGAAGATTATCCAAAATAATAAATTTTTTAAAAAATATCTGACATTCTCAAAACTATTTGGTCATTGGTTTTATTACTTGTGCTTTTATTTTCAAGAAGTCTGCAGCGTACTGGTAAGAGGTGTATGAATACATCATCCATAAGCTGATGGATTCATTGTGGAACTATATAGTTAATCAGTAGAATCAATGTATGAAAATAGTAGTAGCAAAGTAGACGTGGCATTGTCAAATGAGTTTTGTGCGTGTCTTGCAAGCTTTATTTACAGCTGTCTTGTCAAGAAAAAGTTTTTTGCAGAGATAAGGACCTAGAAATTATAAACAAGCATGAAAATAACATTCTTCTTCCACAATGTCTACTACACTTTACCCTCCAGAAATGTGGTAATAAGAATTAACCATCCTTTCCTGGTCTTAGGAATTATAATTGTGCCTTTCCGATAGGGAGTTGGAGCCAAGCCTGGTAGCCATCAATTTGTTGAATGAAGGCACTTTGAGCTGTTTTGTTCATTTGAACTGGGAAGTCGTAGTAAACATTTACATGTTTATTGCTTGCAGTAATGGGCATCCAAATATGGCCTTCAGTGCGTGTTCTTGAAATGTGACCTAGTTTGCCTCAGTATTTAGCTGTTAGTGATATTGGTGGCCTTAATCAAAGGCACATGTTTTCTTCTTAATTTGCTGTCATCATAACTTCCTATTAAAGTAAACTATAAGTACATGCTATGTGCCAAGAGAGGATGCAGACCCAGTCTGATTTCGTGGCAATCCAGCCAAGCTTGTCTGATTTGAATTAGAGTTTTGAATTCCCAAAAGAATGTTCATAGATTAAGAGAATTCAGGGACTTCAGTTATTAATGGTTTATTGAAATGGTGGTTTAGTTGTCCTCAACAGGGTGAGGAAACTTCAGATTTTCAATTCTGGTCTGAAAACAAAATGACAGGGATATCATGCCATGGCCTCTGAAGTATTTTTCATAGTCTTCCTATTTAAAACTTTTAGTCTCTTTCCTCAAGTGATAGTGCCAACATCAAACCATTCTTTTACAGTGGAGGAATGATATCACCAGATAATGTGCAGACTTGTGAAATTAAATAGATACGTATTTATATTTAAAATGTCTGCTGTTTAGATCAGAGTAATTTATAGTACATTTATACAGTCTAAAAAGAAAGTTTTTCTTGCTCGTTTTGTACATTGCAGTAAATGCAGTTAAATATACTTATATATGATATAACTTTCGTGTTAGAATTTTACACCGAAGCAGCGAAAGAATTTGCAGTATTAATCCGAGATTTCAGAAGTAACCATTTGTAACCTGTTTGTGAGTGCTATCTGGGTATCTTAGTTTTGTCAGGACTATTTGAAGTAATTGTAGAATAAAAGAGAAAAAAATCATTCTTAGGACCTGCTTAGCAGTATGGCTTGCAAGGTCTAATATCACAGAATCATGGAATGTTTGAGGTTGGAAGGGACCTCTGGAGATGATGGGGTCCAGCCCCCCCGCTCAAAGCAGGGTTAGCTAGAACAAGTTTCTCAGGACCATCTCTAGCTGGGTGTCTTGTGTCTCCAAAGATTAAGACTGCACCCACAACATTTCCTGGCAACCTGTTCCAATGTTTGATCACCCTTACAGTAAAAAACAGTGCATTTTTTTTTTCTTCTTGTGTCTACATGGAATAGTCTGCGTTTCCATCCGTGCCCATTGTCTCTTGTCCCGCTACTTAGAAGAATCTGGCTCCGTCTCTTGTCATTGTCTGTCTAAAACTAAAACTGAATCTTTAGATAAACCTCAGTTATTATTAAATACAGTGCAGACTTGTATGGCAGCAATTAGTGGAAATTACTGGTGGAAATTACGGTACATTGGGACCAATTTATGGATAAGGCAACCATGGGGAGAAAGTCTGCCATGGCTGATACAGACCTCTCTCAGAAAAGAGAGAGGATCATTAAGTGTAGGAGCCAAGGCCTTCATAACAGCACTTGTACCTTTTCTTTTTTTCTCCTGTGTTTTTACTCATGATGGAATATGCATCCTTCCAGCCTCCTTAGTGAGACAGAGCCTGTGTAGAGTTTTCACATTGTTTCCTGCTAGCAATTCAATGAAAATGCAGTTCTAAGCACATGTTTATAGTGAGAGAGGGGTGACTCCAGTGGCAGTTGAGAACGTGTAAAATTTGGTTTTATGTTGAAGGGCTGAGCAGATTTCTGCAGCATGCTGTCAGAAATTCACACGGAACTGTACTTGAAGGGAGATGCCTAAACAGAGGTATGAATCCCTGTCGTGTGGATGCTGTACTAGTCGTGTTACAGAGCACGTGCCTTGCTCTACTTCATGGAGAGAATTGGATAAACTTGGATGTGCAGTTCTCTACGAGCTGAAACAAATGCTATGTTAATGTTACTCTGTGAAGTATGTGTGTTGTATTCATATTAAATCAAATGGGTGCTAAGCATCTTGGGGGAGGGTGTTTCTGTTTTCTAATAAGTGCGTGTTTTCAAATGCTGACACTGTTATGTGGTCACCAGTGCTTATACTTACTCCTCTTAATTCATTGTTAATAGTTGTATACACTAACGAGGCTGCCTGCAGTGTAACTGTGGATGGCTGTAGCCAGGGCAAACAGCATGGGGAAGGGAGAGTGAGGAGTCACTCTGTTGGAATGAGCATTCAGTGCTAAATATAGAAGGGCTGTAAATTCTGGCGAATGGCTAGAAAGTGTAACGTTTGACACCCTTAATCAACTTCAAGAAGAACTAAAGAAAAGTTGTAATTCTGTATCTGTGTGTGTGCAGGTCAATGTTTGGGTTTAATGACTTTCTCTTACATGCTTTCATTCCTCTTCACTATTACAAGTAACGTGTGATCTCTTGTCCTACTTTGATCATTCAATTCCTGCTAACCAGTTCCACAGACAGGCTAACTGTATTTACCGTGTGTGTTACCTTCTCAGCACAGCTTATAAAAGTACTTCAGTGGCCAGTGCTTTCCTTCTAGAAAATGTTCTATTCACATGAGTTTTAAAGCGCAAACTACACTGGTGCTTCATCTGTGCAAGTTTCTGCTGTTTCTCTTTTCTGCTGTACCTTTCGTGGACAGAAGGTGGCAGATTTTTTCTTTTTTTTTTTTTTTCTTCCCCTTTTCCAGAACAATATGCTGACCTGCAGGATTTACCCATCCAGCCACTGCACTTCTGCGTTCTTGCATAGGGTGGCAATTGAGACCACAGTTGGGTTGGAGGATATTTAGCCTCACTCTATGGAAATCTATATTTTTTTTTAAATTGAATGTGGTGTGAGTATGATACTTTGTCAATCCTAACCAAAGCTGTGCTGTTTTCAGTGTTTGCTCAGTGAAAATGTTTCACTATTAATCCTATGAAATTCAGTGAAGCAACCGGGTTCTTTCTGTCACAAGGCTGCAGCAAGCAAACGAAAAAGCAGTCGTGTTTTGTTTCTTGGTACTGATGCTGCAGAAGTGTGATCCACAGGTATGGGGAGAACCTGAACTTGTCCTCCCTGTGGCCTGTGGGTACTCTGCTTATGAGAAAGGTGAATGGGAATGCAAAGATATCCTTACTCCCCTTTTGGCATGGATGTGCTGGCTGTGGGGCTACCTCCGGGGCCCTCGCTGGTTGGAATGCTTTTTGGAATGTCCCGGGCTGCCAGCCCAACCCCGCCCTGGAATGTGAGGTTAAATGTTGGCGCTACAAAGACAGAGTTTGAATATCAAAATCCTAGAGTTCCCCAGCGCTGCAGTTTGGGAGAGCTGGCGAGGGAAGCACGTGTCAGCTCAGCTGCTCCCTGGTTCAAGGAGCGAGTGTGCCTTGGGCTGCTGGGGTGGGGATGGGGTTGGGTTGGTTTTACTTACCCGTCATCAAGGGCAGGCTTTTCGAAGACGTTGGCTGGCGAGATTGCAAGGGGTCCTAAACAGGTGTTAGCTAGAAAGAAGTCTTCATTCACGGAAGCATTTTATCAGCAATCCTTTAATCAAACCTACAAGCTCAACATGCTCAGAGCTGTTGCCCTATGAAACAGGAGTCTGCCCGTGTCTGGGAGTGGGGAGGCGGGGTGTTGGTGGGATGGACTGGAAGGCTTAACTTTCCGCCTGTACCACAGTGCAGGAGGCTGATGTTTGAGGCTTTTATTGAGAGATTCTGGTGACAAAGCTGATGAAAAACATTAAAAGAGAGATGCAGAGCCTTTGGTGAGGAGGGAGTGCCTTGTGTATTGTTAAACAGCAGTTGCCTAGGTCAGCTAAGGAGAAGAATTGATGAGCTCCAGAGGGAGTCTAGTCCAGTTCGCCTTACTCCAAAGAGCATTGGCCTCAGTGTTTTTATGAGAGGAGGCTTAAAAACATACATCATCTGTGGTGTTCACTTAGCTCCCAAATGAAACTGTGTTCAGGAGTTAATGTGAATCTGCCTGTTAAATATCTATTAGATAAACAAATAACTAATTTTCCCTTGCCCTGGTATGGTGGGAGAGGCTTTTTGCCATTTTTAGAAAGTTATTGTCAGAGAGAGACCCTCTTGTGAGAGTTTACAAAGCACTGTAGTGCAAATCTCACACTTTACTCATTTTAACTTAATTTTGCTTGATAGTCTCCATACATTTGTTAATGCTTCAGTGTGTCATTGTGTTTGATACAAAAAATGAGCTTCCTGTTTAAAAGCCTTTAAAAATTATTGCTTGGTGATTGTAACTGAAATGGGTACAATCTGGCCATAGTTGTGAACATGGATTTTTGCTTGGTATTCTATTGTGTAGAGCTGACAGTAGTGGATTTGAGTACAGATCTTGGATCTGTCCTTTTTAGCTGTTTTAAAACAGTATAAACATTTTACCTTTCCTAATAAGATTTTTTGTTAATTTGCACAATTCTCTCTGCAGCGTTAGGAAGCCACATGTGCTGTGTGTGCCTGTGGGCTTGCCACTCCGTGTGCAGGCGCTACCGAGGATTCTTCGCATTTGGTCACAGGTCTCTATGTTAAACTTCTTAAACAGAAACTGATAAAATGTTTTCCCTCATTGTCATCTAAAAGAATG